ACCAGTGTATGGGACCGGTGCCAACCCAGCATCGTGAGGAAATTGGGGAGCTACAATGAGTAGCGTAATCCGGTCACGGAAACTAGCAATGGTTGGGGGATTCGTCGTACTGACCACACGTCACCCTATATCTGGTTGGATGATCATTCACATCTGCTTAGGCATGTGAACGTGAGGCCAGCAGTCAAGCTAGTCGGCTTTGGCTCTCTGGAGCTGTTACATCACAGACTTATTTTATGGGAATTTAGATTATCATATTTTCGTCTTCAACAGCTTTACAATATCTTCTTCAGTGCAGCGACTTACAAAGAGAAAAAAGTTCACCAATGCACAAAGCAATCCTTCTAAGCTACAATAATATATGAAGATGAAATATGCATGCAGTATTTTCCACAGAGAGGTCTACATAGCACCCAAGTATGTACCTAACACAAACATGCAGCACACAGACAAGAGTGTAGTTTGGTTAACATCAAAGCAGCTAAAATTGTGTAAGTACTTTGGAAAATTGAAAAAAACAATGTACCAGCTGCAGGTGTGTGAATGCTGTTCTCCGTTGCATGTATGGGGGATAATATCCTCTTGCACGCAGTGTGGGCTGTATCACAGTTTTTAGTAGATGTCCCCGTCTTCGCCCGACTAGTATGCGGAACAGTTTCATAACTCTGTTGTGAAGTATTCAATTGGTTGTTTGCCATTGGCATTAAGGTAGCAAAAACAAAATTGGACTCAAATGTTGGGGCATTTTTGACCACAAATACAATTGGCCTAGAAAAGAGAGACAGCTTTATGTAACAAATAAACAATCTTAAACCAAAGTTATATAATTTCTGTCGGTCTGTGTGCGTGCGTGCCCCTTACAATTATTTGTTAAATACTATAATTTGTTGTTCTATTGTTTTATGATTAAATACTATATATATTAACATCACAGTACAACTGAAATTGCTGCCATTTAAACGCACCTGCCACCTGTTTCAAAACTGGCTGCAACAGGCAGATTAACAGCCTCAGCAAACAATAATAATGCTCGGAACTCTCTTAAACAGAAAGTGACAGATGTGTCTACCCCAATGCTATAGTGGTCAAATTCTCCTGGCTCCAGACACAGCTCAGTCCGTACCGTCTTCTTCATTTCTAAAAACAAAAAACATTTAGCTCTGTATCACATAAACTTCACAATCTGATTAATGCGAATAGCTGGAAGGGATTCTGTATGCACAGGTAGAGCAGAGCTGGTACACTAATGGGTAATTTTACAATAATATTGAGATTTGAGGTACTCATAGTGGTGCAGATGTTTTCCTTCCGAGTTATAATGGCGGTGGAACACTGGTATCTACCTATGTGACCACTTGGCGTTACAACCCAGAATATAACCATTGACGCACTAACAATGTATTACATTTCACCATGACACTGGGACTGTGGTTTGCAGTGAAATTGTTTAACAACAAAGGATGCATCATAGTAGCATACCATTTTCATCTTCAGCATAATTCCGAAGCTGCATTTTTTGAGGCGTGACAACCAATGTAAGTTCCAGTGTGTTTGCCTGGAAATTCATCACAGCAAATGTCAATAATTTAGGTTGCACCACCAATCGATTTGGCACCATATCTTTGCTGTACACTGCTTCTAATGTTTCACACTCAATGATAGGCAAGTAATGAGTCTTGATAATGCCATGGTGACAGTGAAATTCAAATATCAACTTAACACCATCTGGTTCCAGTCGAATCTGGCAGGCTTCCACTTGTTTGTCCAAGTGGGTTGGAGAGCGGAACACAGCCACACATGACTGGAAAACACGAGATTCAAAATTAAATGAATTAAAAAGGATACAGTAATCATGTTAGTGTCTGTTTTCATCCCTCCTATGCAACTATTGAGCAAATGGAAATTTTTATTGCCATTAGTAGGCCTGTATAAACAACTGATATCGAACGTAGTCTAACAATGATATAATCATGTGAACATTACAAATGGATTTAAAAATGTATCAATATAGAAATATAATACCTTCATTGACACTTTACACGTAACATCCTCTTCTTGACTCTTTGTTTGCTCGTAATTATAATATGAGAAAAAGCTCTCTGAAAAAGAAAATGATGCGTACGCTGATTTGGAGGCACTGACAGCTCGAAATGAAAGTTTAGCAGGTTCTGGCTCAACGTAAAGTTCATCTCCAATTCGACACAAGGCATGGATAGCACGTGCTAGAACTAAGATCAATAAACAAACGAACGAATGTATTGTTTTCTCAAGCAATTTCATTATTAGCATATAAAAATACAAACTACTGTGATTTTGTTTACTGAGAAGTTCGTTTTTACCTTTAACATTCGGTCCAGGAATTACACACTTCATTGCTTGGAGAAAAAAATTTAATTTATATCTCCATGTCTCGATATTTTATTATTTACCTCTCCATATAATTGTATTTCTTCCATTACAAATGTTTCCAATCTAACAGTTGGTAAGTTACACGGATTATAGTAGCATGGATTTGTTGGTATACCTGTGCGATTAAATTTACCACTATTAACAACAGATGTCGTGGATTCTTGTGAAGTGTCAGCTTGAGTCATACAAAGTTTGTTGACTGTGGTTAGGTCATATAGAAAAGATATTGGTTTTCGGTACCGTGAAACATTACCGACACAGGAAAGACATTATTATAGTGTGTTTCATTGAACACTTTAGGTTTGTTACATAATTCCAGCAAGATCATTTCTTCAGTACAAATAACATACACAAAAATATACCATAATGGTACGTGAACAGCATTTTGTAATGTGTGAATATTTGTATAACCCTTTCTCCTGTAGCGTTTCGTAGATTTAAACACGAATGTTTAATTTATTTCAGTTAGTACTTGTGCTTGGAGATTTGCATATTCCACATAGATGTAGCAGTTTACCAGCAAAATTCAAGAAGCTGTTGGTACCAGGAAGGATTCAACACATATTATGTACAGGAAATCTTTGCACCAAAGAATCATATGATTATTTGAAAACTCTTGCCAGTGATGTTCATGTTGTTCGTGGAGATTTTGACGAGGTAATACATACGTAACAAGTTATTACAATATGTTAGATTGAGGTTATGCACCATTTTACTTCATTGCTCCTTTCTGTGTTTTCTTTCAGAATCTGAATTATCCTGAGCAGAAAGTGGTGACTGTTGGTCAGTTTCGAATTGGTTTATGCCATGGCCATCAGGTTGTTCCATGGGGAGAACCAGATTCTCTTGCTCTTATTCAGCGACAATTAGATGTTGATATTCTTATCTCAGGTCACACACACAAGTTTGAAGCATACGAACAAGAAAATAAATTTTACATCAATCCAGGATCAGCTACTGGAGCATACAACCCTCTTGATACGTATGTTGAGAATTGTTTTTCATTATTTAATCTTCTTCATATAAAAGGCCATATTGAAGATACATATTTTTGGATAGTACGCAGTGTGGTAAAAAAAGTAATGAGACACCCTCTTGATACGTATGTTGAGAATTGTATTTCATTATTTAATCTTCTTCGTATAAAAGGCCATATTGAAGAAACATATTTTGGGATATTACACAGGGTGGTAAAAAGTGATGAGACAAATAAAATAAAAATATGTAGTATGAGTATTGTTCTGCAAGAGGCTGCTATAAACGCACTGAATTGCATTGTTGTTTCATATGGATGTGCTTTGTGCGTCATATATTACTGTGTTGTCAAAAAACACACAATGGTACAACGTGTCAAAATCAAGTTTTGTGTAAAGCTGGGGAAATGCCCCACTGAAACACATTAAATATTACGAATAGCTGTCCTAAGCACAAATATTTTTATGGTTTAAGCATTTAAAAGAGGGCAGAGAGGATGTGGAAGATTAACCTCGCAGTGAATGACTAAAAATGGCCTCCAACTAAAGTACTCTGCCCCACAGAGTTAACTGCTGAAAATAAAAGAGAATCTGTTCTAAAACTATATTTCTATTTGCAGGTCAATAATACCGTCATTTGTACTGATGGACATTCAGAGTTCCACTGTCGTGACATACGTCTATCAGCTGGTCGGAGACGAAGTTAAAGTCGAAAGAATTGAATATAAAAAGAGTTAAGCCAACAAATTAAGACTTTGAAAATATTAAGTTTGGTTACTAACCAATGTCAGTCACTATATTATGGTTCATAAATCCCATCATACATAAAATGAATAATAAAATTCCTTTATACAGTGTGCTCAGTCTTCAGCATTTATGGACAGATTTGTTAATATATGTAAATATAGCTTTTATAGGGATCATTCGATTGGTGTAAATAATAAAGTGGTTACATATTTCAGACTGTGCTACAGTTTTATGGTAACTAGAGAGGTGCTTCTGTGCCGAATAAAAATAAAGCTCCCGTGCTTAAAACTCGCACTGCGATGGCATATTTGGGATGTACATTTATATCCTGAGTAATGGATAGAGATGAGTGATCTGGTGTGTGCTCTGGCCACTTTAACCCCGTGAAAAAGTTGCGGTATCTTCTGAATTTGAAGTTAGACAGGCTTCATCTTCGGTCTGAGCATGGCGTAAAAATTATTTAAAAGAATAAAGTATTTTATTTGGAATATTACTTGACCAAATTCAGGACTTTTTAAAATAATGTTAATTTAGCCCAGCTTTTGCATGTGTTATGGAATCGGTGTTAGGTGGCAGACCACTTTAGTAGTAAGCACATTATAGATTTTGCAAAATATTAAATAAGCCTCATAAGGTGTAATCCATTTTCTTTATAAGAGGTATCCTCATGAGTATCACAGATCAACAAATATCCTCCCCCATAATTAGAAATTGGAAGAAGGATAGGACCGAATGGAAGAGGAGAATTGCGGAGGCCATGGACCGGAGAGCCATAGAAGAAGAAGAAGAAGAATATCCTCCCCCATACTGTTTAATTTATTTATGGGAAACATGGTGTAGAGAGAACAGCATAATCTTTCACTGTATTTATATATTATAATATATTCAATATATGTTAAGTCTTTACTTAACTTTTTTTTTGAGAAAAGTACTCGTAAAACAAAATGTTAATCATCTCGAACGACTTGAAATTTTTACCGTACAAACCAAGCGTTCTTAATACCCCATTTAAGTAGTGTGAATCTGTAATGTTGTAATACGGCGTGTTTAGCGGACTTGGGTGAAAATTATCGCCGTGGTCCGATACCTTAGCTGCTGATCATTGCCACACCTTTTTAAGGAGTCTAATGAAAGACCAAATTACACACGAGAGAGGAACGTCTTCGTGTCGGGACACCCTGAAATTATTCGATACGCAGTAAACTCTTGTTAAGGGTGAGCAAAACTGTGGTAGACAGTTTGAACACTTATATGATGTGAAATAAATTAATTTGATTAATTATTTGGTGTATTTTTTTCCCTGCACACTATAGCTTGATAACAGTTAAAAAATTTGAAAAATGTATCAAAATTTTTTACTTGAAATTACTTCCCAAATCACCTCCTGATGCGTGGCAGACGGTATGTGAGAAAAGGCAGGGGACTGGTATTGAACTATGAACCATGTGCAACATTTGAGAAAGTTTGTTTCCAATTCATCATAAATATTAATCTTCTTGGTAGTTGAAGTGTTTTCCATTGAAAAGAAATGAGCCAATATCTACAGCAATGAAAAGATACGTAAAGAAGAGTGTTGGAATAAATGAATTCATCTTATTTCAGAAAATTATCTTTGATAAAATTTAAATCTGTCAGATTACAACTTTAATGATACGAAGAAGAAATAAATTGTAACCATTTTGCCACTAGATTTGTATCCCCAATAAACAAACACGTCAGTGAAGGATGAAAACTCACAAAGAATGCATTTATAAAATGCATGAATACTCGACGAACGTACTTGACTTTAAAGTCAAAAGTGTAATAAAGGAAAATATTTCCAAAAGTACAAATAACCCAAGCACAGCTAGCATTGTCATGATCGCCTCATACCCAGATGGTCTAAAAATAATTACACGTACTGTGGGCGATAATAAGATTTGGGTTTCGATTGATGAAGCAACGGATGTCTGCGGCAGAAATGTAGCGAATGTAGTTGCTGGCTACACTGGGAGAAGATGAACCAGCGTTGAACAGCAATGATTTAACCCCCTTCAAATGTGCTCCGGTGATGTCGTGCGATGTCGAAAGGAGCTTCTAAAGTTACAAGACCATACTGAGCGACAATTGAAGAGAATTTTCATTCGAGACCTTGAAAATTCACATCATCATATATTGTAATGCTGCCAAGAAAGGACAACGAAGAAAGGTACGTAACATTTTGATTGTTGTTTATTTATTTATTTGTAATATATGAATTTTATATGCAATGAAAGGCTCTTCTTTTAAATTTATTTAATTTTTATAGGAGCACGTATTCTCAACATATCAAGTATTGTAATAGTTGTACATGCATATGTAAATAAATAACATGATTGAAAAACAAAACGGGTTTTTTTAAATTTTAGCGAATATTTTTTCATAACAAATTATGTCATATTTTGCCTTTTTGGGTCATATTTAACCATTTTTTGGGAATATTTCTAGTTTTTTTAGGTTATGAACATCCGAACCCTAGTGATGACTTATGTTTAATATCCGAAATTAAGGACTCTGCATTATAATTAGTTCGCCACAAATTTTCTTCTACATATTATCTTCTTCGTTATAACTTTCCCCCGGAACTCACGCAACCCGCGTATACTGCCCACACACGCGCATGCGTGGAAAGCTGGTGGTTTAGGACTAGGGATGTCTGAAGCGTGGTAGGTTCCCAACTGCACGTAGGCCCGGTCTCACAAAAGCTCGCTTGACATTTCAGACACTCAAGTGGTTGATCTTGAGTGAGAGTGAGGGTTTCTACTTCTTTGACGCTTGTTTCTTAATAAGAGAAAATGTTTTTGTCGTTATTTCGTGTGATTTTCCGAGCTACTAATGTTAAACGACCGAAGGGAATTTCAGCCACTACCTCTCCTGCTATTCAAGGATTCATTAAGGTAAGCAGAGTTTGAAGCCTCGGGCGGAGGTTACTGAAGAGGGTTTGAATGTAGTGTTCAATGACGATTCAGACAGTAAGTAGCATCTTTATGAATTCAGTCGCGGAGAGACGGCTGGTTCTAAAAAAAACATTTGATACGAAGTACATTTAATTGCAAAGTAAGGTGTATTATACCTTTGTCGAACTGCCATGAAACGACGGCGTATGTCGGGGCGTGGAAATAAAACCCCACGAAATTTTGTACAAGGTCACTGCCGCTTAACTCCGGGTAAAAGGCTCCGGTACCCGGAGGTAGGTTATCTGTCACCCAGATTTGTCTGGATTCATATATTATAACTAAAACGGGAATTTGCTTACAGTAACAGGGGTTTTGTAGTGGCGGAAGCCTTTACTATTCAAACCAGGGTCTGTTGCTGCTGATGAGAGGTTATCCCGTCAGGCAAAGGATTTTGGTTGGATGGTTCTCTGGGATTTGAACCCAGAGTGGGTGGGATCGCTTCGGCTGAAGGCCTCCCTGATTGGGGATGGCGGGCCGTGCCCCTTTTGAATTATACCCTGGCATTTTCATTACAACTGAGGAAAACCTCACTCGTTGCGCCGACTTGGCCGTCTTTTGGGGACAGCCTCGGCAGTTCCCCCTCGGTTGCCCTTGGGTGACCTCTGTCAGCCCTCGATCGGCACAAGTGCCTCCCGAGTTGCCGGACTAAGGGGTTCCCCACACCAGTTAACTTTAGAGTTGAAATTCACGGTCAGTTCTCTGATGTGGTCGGCGAACAGTGGAATCCCCAAATCCTCGTGAATTTGCCTGTTACTAACGTATAGGCGGGGGACATAAAACTTAACCACTCTCCGTTCATAATGTTTCTGGATCCTGAGCCAACTTTATCCATTTACCATCCTCACAGCCCATCTCCCGAAGATCTGTCTTTGTATTATCCTCCCATCTCCTTCTTGGTCTACCCATCCGTCGTTTTCCAGAAGGATTTCCCACAAAAACTCTGTATACATCCATTTCCTCACCCGTTCGTGCTATATGCCTAGCCCATCGGAGTCTCTTAGATTTCGCTATCCTCACTACGCTAGATGATCTGTACATTTCACGAAGGTTTTCGTCATGTAATATTATACATTACCCACTTATTTCATCCTTCCTAAGTCCAAATATCTTCCTGAGCACCTTGTTTTCAAACACTTGTAATCTACGTTCTTCATTAAAGGTAAGAGACCATGTTTTACGTCCATACAAGACAACAGGCAAAATTGTTGTTTTATATATCCTGGTCTTCGGTGTTTTGGATAGTAAACGAGATGAATCGAATAAAAACAAGAGTTTTATAAATGTATTCTACTCTTAATTTCATCATGGACCTCATTTATATTTTTTACCGTTGTTCCAAAATACTTAAAAATTTTGAAACATTTTCAAATGACGTGTTACTTATAATTATGTTCCGTCATTGATGATTATGTTGATCCCGAAACACGCTCATGTAATTTACTTCTGTCTACATTTACTTCTAGGCCTATTTCGTTGTTAGTCTGTAGGAGAATTTCTGCATTCTTGGTTCTGGTACCCACACCATCCCCCAGCAAATTGACATCATCAGCATTTCGGGCAAAATTAACATGAAACTTAAATTTCATTAATAAAGATGTATTGCTTGTATCAACGAAGTAGGTTTAACCTGAGAATGCGAGAACGTTTATGCATTTCCTAGTCACAAAGTCCGGAAACTTCGAAGCTCTTTCTTTGTCTCAATCTGCTTTCCAACTTAGTTTTAAAACGCGTCCTTAGCGAGGCTCAAGAAAGTCAGGGCAGAATTGAACCAAAGGGGATCATAAAGACAAATTTAACCTAAATACCACAAATATTATGAAAGTAAATGTAAAGTAACTGGTGCTTAATTAAAATAACTGCATATTTTTATAATTCCTGATTTAACGACACTTAGTTTCTCAGACTATTGAAGGGTAAGAAGGGCTTACGCTAAACGTAATTTGAATTAAATTAAATCGTTCTTAACGAGCATCATAAAACGACACGATGATTTTTGTGTTATGTGAAAGGAAGTGGTGGTGGCCTACTTTAAGTACAGACGAAACCCCAAGGACCTCTGTTAGGATAGGTGGTCCGGAATTCGAACCGGTACCTTATGAATGAACGTCTAGTATCATGTTTAATTATTTTCGAAAAGCTACCCTTTACTAATTGGGGTGGAAGAAGGTACCAGCCACCATGCCACACATCCTGAGTCCTAACTGATCTTATTAGCTGAGTAGATATGATTCAGTATCACCAGGTGTATTACAGCTTCATCTCCCATGTATTCTGACCCGCTGACCAACATTTAAACACACAACTCGCGTGACCTGTGACACACAAACATGACTATCAGTTCGTAAAACAAATGTTCTGGGTTGTGCACGCCTGCCTCGTATTCGGGGTCATGGGTTAAAGTAATACAAACGAAGGAAATCCGGTCAAACCCTGATCTTGACGAAGAGCTGACTATCAATGCACCAAAAATGTTCATAACAACTGATGCGGGCTTGATATGTGCTTTTCCACAAACTTT